TTTCTTTATGACAAAATGCTGCTGGTATTTTATTTTTATTTTATTAAATTTTAGGGGATGGGGAATAAAAGCCATTATCTGGTACAGATAATAATTAGTCTCATTACCAAATCTTAATTGCAACTGCTTTAGAAAAAAAAAGCTGAAGGATAAATAAAATTGTTCCCAATTCAACCCTTCTCTATACCCTACTCAAGTGTGACCTGTACCAAAATATTAAATTTCTTGAGGTATAAACTATAAACAACCATATATGATTTTTATAATTCAGTAACTTCATATACTAAGCTTAGGTAATGAGAGTTCTTGATGTTAAATACCACCTCTGTTGTTTTTAATAAGATTTTGTCAAACTTATCTGAATAAACTAGGTAGCATTTCACTGTAAGGTGAATGAAGACTCACGTTGATATCATCCAAGTACCCACAACATAAACCAGGAAAGTAACCTGACAATTGAAATTATAACATTAACTTAACAAACCACTAGAATACCGAATAGGTGATTATATTTCTGCCCCGTGTTTGTTTCCAATACCATGAACTACCATACCAATCACTCCAGTAGCAGAACAAATAAAGTAAGTTAATAAATCATCAAGGAAAGAAACAAAACAAAAGATGACAAACATAAAGGCAGTTGCATACTGTGCATGGGTGGATAATGGAAGAGCTGCATATCCAATTACTACCTGCCAAGTAAAAGAACAGAACAACTTAGGATTGCAATAAAGGATAGAATGAGAGGAGTGGGAAACAGGCCAAATCACTAACCAATGAGTATACAACCACTGAAACGAGGTTCAGATGATTTTTTATTATTTCAAATGGAAGAAAAAGAGAAAAGGATCTCATTGAACTCACTGGTTTTGGGGATCTCATTGAACTCACTGGTTTTGGAGCTTCTAATTTCATTTGAAGATCAACATGGAAGAAAGTGAATATAAGGTGACGCAATGGTGTCCAAACAGCAGGGAGAGAAACTTTAATTTCATCATGGTAGCAGCCCACCCCAGCACCAACAGCAACTTGCGTGTGAGCCCACTTCTGAAGTGATAAACCAGGTTCCCTTGGATACATTGCCTAGTCATATTAGTAACACAGAAAGAACAATAAGACAAGTTTAAAAATCATAGTGCAAAGTATCACTCAACAATTTTACCTTTAAAGGTTGTTTATGAACATCTGCATCATCCTTTCTTAGCTCAACTCTTACGAATGGATTCCTTTTCCAACTCAAGCTCACAGTTAAAGGATATACATATAGAAAATGGAAAAGCTGCAGGAATGGTTCGTTTCTCAAAGTTGTCCGAAAGTCAAATGCCTGGAACTGCAGGTTAAAATTAAGAAACTAATTACGGGTAAACAAGTTCC